CATTTCTAGGAAGCATAAATCACTTAGCTAAATTTATACCTAACGTAGCTAGTCTGACTGAAAAATTAAGACCACTTCTTAAAGAAGAAAATCAAAAGAAAAAGTTAAAAAACATGAAACTCCCGGTGAAAAAATTCGAGTGGGGGGATGTTCACACAGTAGCATTTAATGCTATAAAAGGAGCTGTGGCAAATATTACGAAAGTGCATTATTACGATGCAAATCGTGAAACACGAGTTAAATGCGATGCTAGCCATGATGGGCTAGGGGCTACTTTAGAACAACAAAATGATGAAGGGTTGTGGGCCCCAATTTCGTTCGCATCCCGATACTTAAATGCCCAAGAAAAAAAATATTCAACAAATGAGTTGGAATTATTGGCAGTTGTTTGGGCAGTAGATAGATATAAACACTACCTTCTGGGGAAACCATTTACCATCGCAACTGACCACAAAGCGCTTATAACGGCATTGGATGTTAATCAATCGAACAAGACCTACCAATCACGTTTAACCCGGTGGGTTGACCGGTTACTGCCATATCAGTTCAACATAGTTCACATTCCGGGGAGGGACATGGGCATAGTTGATTATTTATCGCGTGATCCTTTCAATGATCCCTGGCCCGAATCAGAATTAGACGAAAAGTTTGTAGTAGCGACAATAAACTCTTTTCATGAAGCGTTCGACTGCTGGAACAGTAGGCTTAAAGACTCAAGATCGCTCAACCGGAACGAAAACGTTCTAGAATGTTCTAGAAGGAATGTTACGAAACAGTCATCAAGTAATGGTTGCTATAGCAACCAAAACGGTCAAAATCGAACAAGGCTCGACCGGAACGAGAGAAAACAGTTTCCACGACTGCAAAAACAGCTAATCACAACAGTTCAACAGAAACAAATCACTTTTTCGTCAAATCAACCCACTAAACAGTCAGTCTTAAATAATTGCAAAATCAAAAAACGACCAGTAACGAGCAAAATAGAAAAAACAGACTCAAGGATCGAGATGTCAGAAAATAAAAACAGAGCATACGACTGGTGGTCGAACTCACCACAAGACTGGCGGAATGAGGAGCGCGAAGAAAGCATAATGGACCCAAAGTGGAACCGATCACTTTCCACCAATAACGAACTCTCGGAAGAGGAGGAGATCACAGAGACAGTCCAACGCACGAGAAAAATAATACGAGGAGGCAGAAAAAATAGGGACAGTTCAGACAGCGAAACACGTCATGCACAACGAGTAAAATGGTCGTTGGAACCGGAACAACAACGAGTAGCGGATCAAAGACTGCTCTCATTCTGGCAGTTAATAGGCGGAGAAAACAATGTTCAGGAAAATCGAGAACTGGTGGCTCATACCCAAGAAGTCAGGGACAACTTGGAACACGAATCAAGTTCAACATCGCCAAAACCGAGCGCATCGACGGAACGAAAACTCAGTGAGGTGAATGTAATAGAAGTAGACCTGACAACCACAGAAGAGGCGGAGAGTGACGAGGAAGTGTGCTCAATTCAACCGCCAAAGGGACTAGGAAAAACAGGACTGCAAAAGCAGCAACAAGTGGAGACCCTGGACAATCTCGCAAAACTGTTTGACAAAAACTTGCTAGCAGAATTGACCACAGAAGACACGTGGATGGACCGCCTCAGGAGAGTGGTAGAGAGAGAGGATAAACAAGGATTCGAATTGATGGGACCCTATACAAATCCGTTGTGGTCACAGATGGCAGTTCAGGACGACTGCATCTTGGTGAATAATCGGCTAGCAGTACCAGTTCAACTACGACAAGCTGTCCTGAAGCGAATCCATCGAGGACACCCAGGTCAGGAGGCTATGTTGGGAGCAGCGCAATATCTGTGGTGGCCACACATGAATAAGGACATCGTAAATTTGGCAGAGGAGTGTGTGTCGTAGTTGTCCCAGATATGGTAAGAATGTAAAATACCTTATTTCGAAAAATTCGTCAAAACCATTGCCACTGCTCACGCAGCCGGGACAGGAGGTACAACTAGACTACGCGGGGCCTATAGAAAACCAAAAAGGAAAAAAATCTATCTTTTAGTAGCTATTGATCGATTCTCAAAATTTCCATCAGTGAAGGTTACAAAATCCACAAGTGGAAAGAGCACAGTAAAATTCTTGAGATCATATATCGACACACATGGAGTCCCTGAATCAATTCGATCGGACCAATTTTCAGGATTTAAGGGAAAGACTTTAAAAAAATTCTGTTCGGAACTCAATATCGAGCAAAAATTCTGTCCGGTGGGGGATCACAGAGGTTGTGGTTTGGTTGAACGTACAATTCAAACAATAAAAAGAAGACTGGGAGTAATGATGCTCGATGAAAATAATAAATCAATCAAATTATGCCTCAGCATTATAATGAGAGACTTACGGTGGAACAAGCAGAAAACAATTCAAGTATCTCCGTTCCAAGCACATTTTGGCAGGCTACCAAAAACAGAATTTAAAATTGTGAGGGATAAATTTTTAAATAATTCTGATTCTTTAGACCAACAACACTTGGAACGCTCAGCACTGACTGCTTCTCAAATGAAACGAAGAATTGATCAGTCGAGAGAGAATCTAAAGATAGTGCGCAAGGGACAACTGAGCAGGGATACAAGCCCACTGCACAAGCAGCAGATGACATCGGACAGAGACAAAGAAAGAGCCAAAGCCCTAAAGGAATTGTTGGAAGCGAACGCCCGCTGGAACTACGAAAGAAGGGACGCGGCTAAAAATGACATCCGGAAATTAGTGGACGAGACAGGGCAACTAAATCCCGATCTCCGAAAGGAAATGATCTACTCTTGGGAGAAGGGATTTGTGGAGGACAAAATAGAAAACCAATGCAAGTCACCAACCAAGACTATACTTCGAAAGGACCCTCTACGGAAAAGCGGACAAGCCTTAACCAGGCCACTAAAGGGGAAAATCGTTTCAGAAACGGACTCAACAATTAGGACATCAGCCGGTTCGATCTATAGGAAATCGGATATAGCTCAATCAAAAACGGTACTGACGCAAGAAAACCAGCGAAGCACGAGTAAAAGTCCATCGTCAGAACCTACCAAAAAGTTTAAGCGAGTCAGCTCTCCAGAACGACTAGAGGAGCTGGGATCAGAGGACGAACTTCAAGGAGAAATGGAAATCGCTGATACAATGAATCCGATAGAGCGCTTTCAGAGGAGCCAAACAATAGTCACTTCAAAGGAAACAGAAGCCGGGGGAGGCCTGAATCTTGCAGTCAAAAGAGCAAAACCCAATTTGGTGGGACCAAAACTAAATACTGAGGAAAATATCACAAACAAGCCGGAAAAGAGCGGAAAGGAAAAGAAAGGCCGAAGCAAGAAACAACAGGGGACAAATCAAGCTGCGACTGCAGCAAACTCAGAGCAAGAGAAAGCAACATCTAGGCCGGAATCAGACACAGTAGATACCAAAATTCAGTCAAGTTCTACGCCGAAAGCAAAACAGCGTCCGAAACTGAAACGCATTGACTCTCACACTCCTCTTGAAGATATCGTGGACACATTTCACAATCGAAATTTGGCACCGTCTGAATGGGAGAAGTACGCGGACCAATTGTTAAAAAGAGGAGTGTAGCGAGTTGCGGATGAACTTCGAGAAAATCCTCAACAAAGCTCGGAACTGGACACAAACTTCGAACCACCACAAGGATTCTCGGACGAATCAAGTGCAGAAGAGTCAGGTATTAGACGAAGTTCGAGACAAACAAAAAACAAAGAACCCAAACGATTCGGAGATCCGATAAAACATTCAATCAAAGAAATATCTGAAAACCTTACAGGTAGAGGTCTTCTAAAGGAGGCACTTAGACAATACAGAAACCAACTGAGAGATTTTAAAGATCGGGACGACAGACCATTAGAATCGAAAGTGCGACGACTCGAAAGACATCTATTTATGCGAAAATTCGGATATGCTACCTTGGATGAGGGAGTCGATTGGAACCCGAGTTGGGAAATCGAGCTGGAGGAAAACTGAAAAATACATAATCCAAAATCGTCAATTACCAGAAAAACAAAAACTTTTCTTTGAACTGAGTAAATTAAACTCTTTAAATAAATTATCCTACTGATGTTGTATAATTTATTTCTTTCACCGTGGGGGGTGTGTCATACCGCTACTGCAGTAGCAGTATTTATTATACGTATGTACATCTAACCTCTGGTGCTCAATCATTATTTTATGGTATTCTCAAGGTCATACGTAAGTGTTGACACTGAGATTAAGCGAGAGATCAGAGTACTTACCAATGATCTATCTCTCAGTACATAAGAAACCAAGAAAAGAGAAAATCTAAATTCAATATTCAGAATACAGTATTGAATTACAATTTGTTTTCAATTGATATCGCAACGCATATCACATCGGAGTAAAATTTCAATCTACATTTAAACTCATGGAGTCAATGTTTTAATAGGCCTTTCAAAAAATTTCGTTAACAATAATTATTTCAACCGCCAAACTTTGTCTGAATTAATAAAAAATCACTCCAGTGTAAATTTTTTGTTGCTTTCTTGGAAAACCGGGACAAAAACCCAAGAATTATTGGTCTTATTAAAAATTATGAAGTATCTTTTTCTCTTTTTTCAACTATTTTTACTCATTTCTTGTATAATAGCATGAAATTTAGTTTTAAATGAAAGTTGAGCCCAAAGATTGTAGTTGTTGCATAAAACGTTTATCGGAGCACAAATAATTTTTGACACCCAAATATGACCAGAACAACTTTCAACTTAAAAGTTAAAGTTTGTTTTTCTAGTTGAAATAAAAGTTTGTGGCATTAAATTTCTACCTGCTTATTAATCACTAAACGCTCCTATATTTTGCTTTCAAAAAACTATGCAGAGCTAAAACAAACGAAAGTTTGGCGTAAGTTGAAAGAAGCATTTTGAACGATAAGAACAAGCAGTCGAAAATAAACCACGATTTTTTTATACTTAACAAGATATCTCATTTTAGGGTCAAAATATGGAGCAATGTGTCCTATATTACCCCTGCAACCAGCTACCTGGTCAACGATGTCCTCGATCTCTCCTCGGGTCTGTGGGACTTCGGACACATCCAATGGAAACTGGCGCTGGCTCTCGCTTTCATCTGGGTTGTCACTTTCCTCTGTGTTGTCAAGGGAATCAAATCCACCGGAAAAGTTGTTTATTTCACCGCTACATTCCCTTACTTTATTTTATTCATACTGTTTATCAGGGGAATTACACTCGAGGGAGCCATGGTTGGGATTCGAAAGTACCTCACGCCCGATTTCGCAAAACTGAGTGATTTAAATGTCTGGGCTGACGCTTTCCAGCAAGTGTTTTACTCTATGGGTCCAGGATGGGGCGGACTTTTGACCTTTGCAAGTTTTAACGACTTCAACCACAACATTCAAAAAGACGCCATTTTAGTGACTATGGTCTCGGCTTTCACGAGTTTCTTTGGTGGTTTTGTTGTTTTTAGTATTCTCGGATTTCTCTCGTATTCCTACAATTCGCCGATAGAGAATATTGCGTCAACTGGGATAACAGTCGCGTTCGAAACTTACCCCGCAGCTCTCGCTCAAATGCCGTTTGCCCAATTTTGGTCGTTTATATTTTTCTTCATGATAATCATTCTCGGACTTGACAGCGAGTTTGGAATGTTGGAAGCTCTCATCTGCGCTGTCGTAGACTCATACCCGAACCGACTGCACAAATACAAAATGCATATAACAGCTGTAGTATCGATGCTATTTTTTCTGACCGGGCTTATTTTCGTAACCCAAGGGGGGATGTTTCTAGTCACAATAATCGACACCTACTTCGCTATTTTCGGACTGCTAATCGTGTGTTTCACAGAAAGTGTCGTATTTGCATACATGTATGGGTATAATAAATTCAGTATGGACATTGCAGAGATGCTAGGGAAGCCTCCGAGTCGCTACTTCCAGGCCATGTGGTGTGTGGTCACGCCCTCTTTGATTGTGTTCATACTCGTATCTCTCTTTCTTAAGAGTGGGGGATCAACTCAGATGGCATACCAGGGTAAGCATTTGGTTTTTCTTCGCCAACTTCCGTTAATTGAATCTTTTAGTAATTATTATATAGTCAATTAGTCTATGACACTGCGTAATCTTTATGGAACCTGAAAAGTACATAAGCAAAAGTTGGTGAAAAATTAAGAATCCTTATAGTCAGGCAAGAGACATTTCAAGGATGTGAATGTTATTGATTGATATTACTTCAGTTAGCATTCGAGAGTTGAACAGCCTTTTTGGGATAATGTAATGCAGAATAAATGCTATTCATCGAATCATTGAAGAATCTCATTGCATAAAACAATGATTGTTGCCAAACTTGATCACGTCCTTTCAGGCCGAGTGTTTCCCGAGTACACTTCGATGTTGGGCTTGGGGATGGGTTTCTGTGTCGTGCTCATTGTACCGGCTGTCGGGCTGGTCAAACTGGCTCTGAACAAGTGGGACTGGCGTCCCCTTTTGAAACCAACAAGCGACTGGGGCCCAAAGTCAAGAAGGGTTCGAATCCCGGACACCGCAGCCAAACTTTCAGAAAGTGCGGTAAAACTTCAACTCAATGCGGAGACGAACGATTGCTAACTATATTTATGTAACATTTTTGTTATAAAACTTCATTTAGTGTGGGCTATAATTAGTTAAAAGATAGCTCGAACTCGAATTAGATAACTGTTAGTAATAATTTTCATTTTGCCAAAACAACGGAAACTTTTTATTTGCTTAAATTGATGAAAAAACTTTTAATGTTTGTAGCCCATACGCCGATGGTTTATATTGTTGCTAAACGCAAATTAGTTTAAATTCTTTGAATTTCAGTTATTAATGAAACAATTGCAATAATTTTTTAGAAATCGAATGTGAAATTAATAATTTGTATCTGTATTATTGTTAATTGTAAATCTTTGTAATTCAATATTATTTTACCTACTGCGCTAAATTTAAATAGCAGTTTTTGATCATTTTTTTCTATCTAACCGGTAACAATAATTGCGTCAATTTTTTTACTTGACGTAAAAGTATTGACGCAATTTCTGATAACTTAATTTCGCTGAAGTTCGAACAGTTCAATTTAAATGTTTTAATTCTCATTTGTCGTCCTAATGTAATGTCGTCTTGTGTCCTGTTGATCTGTTGCTTTATTTACATAGCAAGAGCATCTATTTTGAGATTTTTTCCAAAATTTTCAAACGTTTTCACGTCAAAAAACGCAGTTTGTCTGACGTTCCTCGGATTTACGAGCAGGATTTGCGGAGGGCGACAGCTTTTTTTTAATAGTGGCTGCCAAACTTTTCCAAAGGGTCCCCCATTTGACTTATCTAAAATCGCCTGCGGTGACAATACCAACTAGTCTTGATGGAGCGCGCGCTGACAATACTAAGTTACTGCTATCAACAGTACAAATAAAATTGTTTCATTACTAACAATCATTACTGTTCTAAAACAGTATAATCATGCGCCCAATCATGCTACTCTGCTGACTAGTTGGTACAACTTTTCTTATAAGATAAAAGTACATTTTTTCAATTTTCAACAACCTAAGTAATTCTGTGCTGCCTATACTAAGTTTTATCAATCGACTGAAAACTACTAAACTTTAACTTAACATTCACAGTGATGGAAAGCAGTACAATCAGGTGATCAAAAAAAAACATTTGACAAGTTTGAAAAATTCGATGTTTGAAAATAACCTTTTAACGCAGAGTTTTCTATTAAGAAAAATTATGATAAGACATTGCGCAAAATCTCAATCATTTAGGATCCTAAAATACATTGTTATGATTTGAAATGTTGTAATTCTCGAAAAGGAAAAACTATTACAATAGGAACTCATCATAACAATAACAACAACTAAAACAAAAACACCCCTTCAATTCTTGTTTTATAGAAGCTTCAAACACAAAGAGTTTGAAGCTTCTATAAATTACTTCAAGTCTGATCACAGCTATCCTCCATCAACTATGATAGATTTGATTAAAATGTATATCCTGGCCAACTTTGGAACAATAAAATCACAGTATCAAAATATTAGCTGAAAGTTAGTGCACCGATTTCTGCTGAGCTATCGGCTTAAATTCGCACAAAAAAACCACCGGCAAATTCTCATTACGAGGCCAAACTGTGTATTTTGTGAATTGTAAGCGGAATCCGCAACAAGGATGTAATCCTTTGTTCTTCTTTTGTTGTCTCATTTTTTAATCGTTCCGACAAAGTTTTATCATGTTTAAAGATTTGTCTCTGGAATCCAGGAATATACAGACACAAAATTGGCCTCGTAATGCTGGCGAAAACAGCCTGTCTGATTGGAGCATTTTCCACTGAATCCAGACATGGGTTAGGTTATTCAAACACAATTCTATAATTCGAAAAAAAATATGAGGCGGGAAGAGCAAAGCATTTTTTGCCGAACTCTCAAGTTGAGAGATTTGGTCTCTAAAATCTAATTGCTACCTTTTTCTCAATTTTAATTTTTTCAAAAGCCAAGTAAAAATCAAAAGCAGAGTGAAGCATGCTTTGCTCATACATCTGAGTTTTTTGCATCTTAAGTAAATGAAAACTGAAAAAAAAACATCTCAAGGACTTCTGAAAACACCAAAGATGTTTTCTGATGATTCAGTTATCTCAACTATTCGCGATAAAAATGGTCCGCAAAAAAATTAACACTGTTTTGAGAAAAAAAAGCGAAAGACTAATAAGCTATAGGGCTGGGGGAGTAACCATTTTTCATTTTACTGAGGAGCGCAAAATCATAACACTTTTCAAATGTACAACCTCAAAGGAATTTCAATTTTTTAATGTCTCGACTATTTTTAACAAACAGCAGAAACAGTTTCTAACTACAGTTTACAAGTCGCCTGGTTTGAATTGACTCATTTTTGTGAGCCCTGCATTGTTTGAGCCAATTGTTTGAATGAAAAATTGATTCTAAAAATAAACATATAGTACGCGAAGAATTTCACGAAAATATATCAGCAGCGCCACAAAAAATAATAAAAATAAAATTAGATTAGCTCACTAAAATTTAGAGTTGCTGGATATGGAAAAGATATCTGAACAAATTGAAAATAAACGGGTTTTCCCTAAAAATGTTTTTGATTGATATTGGCTAAACAAAAATTGTGCAACGGAAGAATTTTACGATAAACGTTATAAAAAATGGAATAACAAGAATTAAAAATCAGTGTCATTTGGTTTTTACCTATAATTAATTAAAGTAAGTTTAAAAGTAGTGTAATTGGTACCAATGAAAAATTTGAATTTCTGCAGCAACAGAAACAAAACACAAAGCTATATTACAAAAAAATGGACGGCAAAATAAAATCAAAATGCCATTGCTAAGAAACGCAAACTACTAACTTCAATTTCTAATGGGAATATTTTAGGGGCGAAAAAAATGGAGGCAAAAAACTGGGTTTGTAAATTAAAAAAGAATTTCAAAACAAACTAAAGACACAAAATTTTAACATAACTGAACAACCCAAAAAAATTTTTTTGTGAGTATGTGAAAGCTGTTGAAGCCGTTTATTGAAAAAACAGCTCAGAAACTGAAACAGTTCAGTTAATTGCATAGGTATTGAACATTTTTTTTCTCGCAAACTGTGCAGAGTTATCAACTGAATTTCAAAACAGTAATTTTTATAAAATTTATCAAAAGAAAAAGTATTAATCAATTTTGAGACATTTGTGATAAACTGCTTTGCTTCTTGTCTTGTTTAAAATAAATGGTCATCTGTGCAGTCTTAAACAGTTGACTATTATTTGAAACCAGACAAGAAGCAAAGCAATTTATCACAAATATCTCAAAACTGAAAAAATACTTTTTTTCGAAGAAGGAGACAAGCCACTTCTAGATTTGTAATTCTAGACCTAATTCAGGAACTTATGATATTGAAAAATTGTTTGGGAGTTTCTAGACCTATCTAAGTGACTTATGGTAATAAAAAATTGTTTGGGAAAATTTTACCGAAAAAAATTATCAGTTTCTTGTACAAACTTAAAGTTTTACGCAGATTTTATTTTGGATTTTGCAACAAACAATGGGATTTCATAAGTTTGTGTCCCTAAAAAATTAGTTAAATATACATTAACTAGAGATGGCTGGCTGCCACTCCACTGTTCTAGCTTACAAAAAAGCACAAAGTTAAAGTTGCTGCTAGGTAAGTAACTGGGAAAAAACTTGGATCAAAATTTTACCTTCGGACATTTTAAAAACAACGAAACAACGAGTCCAATCATTTTCATTTTTGAGTCAAACAGGTTTTTCTCAGTTTATCTGTTTTCATTAGATTTTACAAGCAGTTTATACAAGCAACAAATGAATATAATGGTACATTGGTATACGCAGTTGCCACTGAAAACGCTCTGATAATTTGCGACTACTACAGTTTTCCTTGAATCAATGTGAGTTTGGCGCAAAAAAAAACAAATGTAACGACAAAACGAAAATCACAAAATATTTGTTCAATCGGTTTGTTGAATAATTTTTTCCGCATTGGAAGGACGGGGATATGCAGATAACCAAGTGATACTTTATTTCAAATCAAAATTTGGACAAATCAACTAATACAACTAGAACAAAAAAATTAATAGAAATCAAAAACTAAATCAACCTAAAATATCAAAAAAATTAATCACTGTACGACTACAGACACGATATATTTGTCTAAATAATTTCAAAATGAATTTCAGCAAAAAAATTTCTATTGAACCTAAACAGTATATAAACAACCTGATCCATAAAATAAGAGATCTTTATTTGATTGGTTGCAACTTCTTTTTAAATTTTTTTGGCTATAAAGCGTTAATGTTTTTAGAAAAAAAACTGTAATTAGTATACCATAAAAAAATATTCGTTTCAATTGGAAGCAAATAAAACAAAAAAGTAATCAAATCTGAACTCTAATCTCAAAATTATTCCTTACAAAACGGATCAATGAAATGTAAAATAAGTATACTTTAAATTTCAAAATTTGTAGTTATTTTTTGTAATGCGCAATATTTTTTTTCTGGTTATAGAGCACATAGGTTACCCAATTCGGTCTAGACAAAATAGTCAAGGAAAGAAAATTTTCAGCTGAACCTCTAGTGATTATATATCATGTTTATCAGTGTATTTTTTCAAAATTTGTAAATCACTTACTATTTAGATTAAGTAAAATTTTTAAGTCAAATTTTAAGAACAATTTTGAACTAGCATGTTTTTTGTTTGATAGAGTGTAAGCATCGTGAACATTTTTAAAGACAGTTTATTTTGTAACTTCCAAAGATTACAAAAATTGAATGCGCGTTTTGAGAGAATGGGCTGAGGCATGATAAAAGGCGTTTTTAGTTGTGATTTGGATTCACGACCGAAGCTTCTAAAAGTTTGTCAAATTACTGTCCAAGAAAACTCGTAGTTTTTTTCAGCATTAGTTTTTATCTACTATCAGTATTCCAAATTGAGTATTAATTTTTTGCATGTGGATTATACATAAAATGCGCCACAATCTATGAATTTTTCTATTCTGCTATTTTCTCTTGCGTTTCTCAGTTTGATTTCACTGTATCTCCCCACATATATTGGATCTTTTTTATTGTCTTTTGAATATGAACTTTGTCTCTGTAGTAACAAAAATTTGGGCAATCCACTGTGATTTGTCTGAAGCCTTAGAATCAGTTGTAATGGAATTCAGAGGCGAAAATTTTCAGTTTTGTGTAATAATTTGCATCCAAGCTATAACTTGGTATTTTAGAGAAAAACGCTAAAAACGTACACTAAAAAAGCTAGTGCAAACTAATAATAAAAAGGTAAGATTTTTTCACGTAATGCATCCCCTCTAACATATATTTCTCCCTGATAATTTGCTCAGAATGAACGCTTTTGCTTGATGATTTTAAACTAAATTGGGCCAGCTATAGCGTTTGCAGGCATGGTTTCCAAAAAAACTCAAAAGTTTTTTTTCTTTTCCCTCCGAAGTCGTATTAAGATTTTTTCTAAACCGAACATTGCTTCAGAGATAACAAAAAGCAGTTGAAATATTCAAGGCTTTGCCTCGATACGAACAGCCTTGTTTAATCTTAAATTTCAATTTTGTCATGTTTTATGGTCGCAGGTTTTGTTTTTAAATTCAGAAAATTAACAAAGTTTTTTTTCTCTCTATTTTATCCCTTCAAAAGCTACGTCGTTAGGAACAAAAAACATCATTAGCGTCTTGTAATCTGATAAAATGATCAAATGATTAGCTTCAATTCAATTCGGAACGATTTATTTCTTCGCTTACGGTGGTTGAAAGAACAGGAAATATTGCACGTTAATTATCCCAAATTGGCCAAATTGACAGTTTTGAACCATCATAATCCATAACAAATAATCAAAAGTAAGTTTTTCAAGTTGAGACCAATTATTTATCATACATTAAATAAAACAAATCTTTTGTGAGTTAAACAGTTGCTGTGTAAAAAAATTCAAAATTTTTTGAACGAAAACAAAACAAGTTATAACCCTTGACAGAACCACTAGTAACTTTTGATCTAATCAGAAACCAACCGAATATAAATCGAACAAAAAATGTGGTGACAAATTAAGTTCTCAAAATTTGTCGCCGCGTATTCCGCAAAATTTGCCATATTTTTGACCTAATGAGTTTCCACGCATCTTTAAGCAAAAAATTACAAAAAAAGCTGAAATTGTAGCATTTTTGTGATCGTTGTAAAATTGAAGCAGAATACAGGCTTAAATCGATGTTTATCTAGATAATCAGTAAATAACTTTTCTCGAATTTTTCCTCATAGTTCAAACGACTGGTCATCAAAGAGCAGCTAAAATTTTTCGGAGATTCCATTTTTTGCATTAAGTTTGAATCGCAATTGTCTTATATTCGTATTTGTAATATTTTTTGAATTGCATTCAACGTATAAAACTCATGATTTTCTCGCAGGTAAATGACATTTACATGTCAAAGTGAAGCCGAAAATTTTTTGATTGCTGTTTTAATTCTCCAAAAAATATAACGCTAACTAAATAATTTGACAAAAGAATGTGAATGAATAAATGCTTTTATAATTTTCGCAACTTTTCTGCACCTCCGATTCATTGTCATTCTGCATCTAATGGAACTGATTAGCTGGCTTTTTGATGCTATTTTCATTTATGTGTTGACTTTTAACTTCTGATGATTACAGGATGGCTCGTATTTAGGCAACACCTGAATTTTTCTACAGCCCTATGACGTCTATGAATCAGTTTTTCATTGAAAACTAAAAATTTTTTTGTTTTGTTTTAATTTTTTTTCTGAACGTTTTATCCCCGCACGCATTAACTAATGTATAAATTGATGCCGATAAAGTAACGTGCTGATAAAGCTGAATAGCTTGCCCTAATTCCTTTCGGAACAATTCCTAGGACGGCTTAAATAGCCACTTACCTGCTGATAGCACAAAAAGGTTGCGCGTTTTTGTTCTAAATTGAACAAATTGGTTAATTTTAAAAACCCCATTCAGTTTTCTGAAAAACGATCACAATTGATTTTTTTCAAAATTTGCACAGAAGAAAAAAATTATAAAATCCCGTTCAGAAATGAAAAAATCCAAACTGAGCATGAATATTCTGGACGTTTTTTGAAAAGCGCAACTAAAAACACATCAAAATTTAGTCAATCAATTTATTTTGTTTTAATCTGTTTCGAATCTACTAAGTTTCATAGAAAACAATAAAACAACTGTTATCTTCTTATATTGCAATTGTGGGAATCAGTATTTTAAATGATGCAGGTATTTTTCAAAAACCATTGTTTCAATCACAGAATTTGGTCTAATGATAAATTGTTTCAAGCATATAAATATTGCACGACTTTCTTTTAAAAATGGGATAAAAATTCAATTTGTGCTCGGGGTATTTTTTTCCGGACAAGTTTCGACATTTTTTTTTACAATCAACCTTATTGTTTTAAGCTCACTATAAAAAATATAATTCACCTGTGATTCATTTTTGTAAAATTTTAGTGGTTTAAAGACTGCTAATATACCCAATTTGGAACAATTAACGCGTGATACATTTCGCGCTGTCAACGCGTAGGCGTCGATTTAGTCGTCTTAGAAATAGTTCCAACTTGGTTAAAGTAGACTATTTATCATAAATTATACATCACTGGGAGCGAAACCTATCTTTTTGTATTTTATATGGCGTGTAGGGGGTTGATAAAAAAATCCCAAAAAGTTCTGATAAATTTTTTTTCAAAAACTTCTGATAATTTTTTTCATTTTTTTTTTGAAAAACAATTCAATTTTTTTTTCGGCGAAGGCTACTTTGAAGACCTAAGAAAAGCTGTCGGAACCATCAGTGTTCGCCCAAATACGAGCAAGCTTGTTAAACTTGAGACTCGTGTGTTTTCTCTAATCAAAACTTTGTTACACACTTTTCTTCTGTACTACCAATTGTCAAACAATATTAAATGCAAGGGAAACAATAAAGAGCATTCTGATGGTTTCATTTTAGCAGCTCTTCTCTATGTTTGCTGAATTAAAATTTTGGACTCTTCAGTTTTTCCAATGAAATCTTCGCTGCCAATATATACTAATTTCGTGGGGATTGTACCTGCCAAAAACGCAGTTTTTTACTCAAAACATTCAAAAGTGTTTGAGAAATCTTCGGATATTTATTTGGTTTACAACTGACTGTGTCCTAATTTGGCTGAAACTGGCGTTTTCACAGTTTCATTTTGATAATAGGTTACTCAATAGGAACAAAATAGAAGATAATATATGTATATTATGAACAGATTCACGTAGAAAAACATGGTAAAATTAAGATATAAAGCGATACCAAAAGCAATGATCGATAGTAAACTCTACATTTCAGCAGGAACTAAAGTAAACAAAATCAACAAGTTGCTTCCAAGCTTTTTTCGTGTTCATCAGCAGAGAAACTTAAACTGCCACATGACGATTTCGAGCGAATAGGCGTTCTCAATAGAACATTTTCAGCAGCTTGTCGCAGTTGGTCCCGCCGACCGCTGCTGTCGTTCTGACGGGCATTGTTGTCGTCCGGCTGGTCACTGAGACTGTTGTCCAGGAGACCTTCCCCGACATCGCGATGCCCGGCGCTTTGATCTCGAAGCTCCTCTAGTTCTCGTCTTCGTAACTTCTCCTTGTTAGTTAAATCTGCACAGTAGCTGTCCCACAGTGACTCGTGGTCTCGTTTCCATTTAACTAAACCTCGTTCATAGACGTCCATTTTGGGTTTGCGGACATAAGTCTGTTTGATTTTAATATCTGTCTGCCAGAGAAGATAAAGGATGACCATGATGTTGAAAAAGAGTCCAATTCCTGTCAAAAAGGGTCCGGGGTAGCGGAGGAAGTAAATGAAGTGCACAAGTGCAAGGGTTGAGACACTATCGGTGGTTGCCCTCGCTATGACCTCGGCACGTGACCGGGACCAGCAGAGGTCATCGTCCCAAGAGAGTGGCTTGAGACAGAAGAGGCTGAAATTTTTCTATTATTTCTGAAAACTTCAAACTTATTCGGACTAATAAAAATTCACATCGCAGTCTTCAAAATTTACTTTTTTATACTTCTTTCCATGCATCCCCATAACTTAAAATGCAATTAGGCTATTTCCAATAACGTGCCAATGAAGGGTGGCAAACGAATGGAAAACTATTAAATTGACCTGATTTTACGGGGGAATACGCAGACTAGCTTGAAAAAATAACGACTCGTTTTTTCAATCCTTCATACTAATTTCCAAATTGTTCCAATGGTTCCTCCTTTGGGACTATTTCACGACAGACATTTCGGGCTGACCAATTCTAAAATTTTGCTCATAATAACTACCTTTGACAAGCACGCGCATAAAAAGTACTCAAAACAGTATTTTCAAAAACGGCGCATAAAAACGGTCATTCTCCGGTTTCAGCAGAGCTCAAAAAAATGTTGCAAAAAACCGAACAAAAAACTTGAAAAATTTTGATTAAAAACTTAACTATTTGGCGAACTCCACACATTGGCATCTTTGAAAAAGTGATGAGCAAAGTTTTCAAATGACATGATTGCTAGATTTCGTAATGCGACAACTCGCAACAAAAAAAGACAACTCGCAATAACAGACAACACGCATTAAAACCGAAATTCTTAAGTTATAATTTAATCTTCACATTTTGTCTTTTGTTGTGAGTTGTTTTTTGTTCCGAGTTGTCGCGGTACCGCTACATATTACACCTGTCATCAGGATCTGATCTATGAGTTTCTCGAGGGTCGAAAACTTTGACGACCTTTTTTTAGGTCGACCAAATTGATTTTCTGAGCTCCCCAAATCATTATAACGACCATTATTCTACCAAACTTTCTGGAAATGTTTGAATTTTGAAAAAGCAGGCCCAAAATAACGTTTTTAGGCACTTTCTTGGAAAATTTTGAAGTTTTGACGCTCCCCTTTCTAAATTAAAATATATGGCGCCGAAGGTGCTTTAAGAAAAACTTTAGGGTCAGCCAGTCAAATAGGATATCTCAAAAGAGGTACAAGGGGGAGAGGGCGTTGCCCCCACCACCACCCCTAATCCGCTACTGCCTGTCATGACTAATGGGAACAATTTAAGTGAACCGGTAGCACGAATATTAAGTACAAGATGTTGAGAAAACAACGACCCGTGTGCTCCACCCACCTTGCGATGGTGACAGCGATGCCTACAGACGCGAGGATGGATCCGCCCATGATATTAGGAAGGTGCTGTTTGAGGAGCTGGAAGAAGATTCGTTTGCGCATTCTGCACTCTTGTTTGTCCATGTTAGAAGTGTCCAGCTGGAACAAGTAGGTCACTTTCCGCTTGTGAGTTCGCGAGTTGGCTGCTAGACCAGAGACGTTTGCTGCTCTAAATAGAAACAAACGATATGATTTTCAGAGTTTTTTCTTCCATCAAAATTGAATACTTTATTTTGATTGATCGGTCACATTGATAATATGCAATGAGTCACTTTTTTGTGCGCCGAAATCAGTCAAAAAACAAAACAAGGTCAGACCAGTTTTTCTCGACACTGATGGAATTTTTTGTAATATCTTTTCAAACCCAAATCACGAATGCATGGGCTATAAAATGGTATCACACTACAAGGTTTCTTTGAGGTATTCAAAATTCACACTGAAAAAAAGCCAACCTTAAGGCAGCCAGTTGCTTCCTCTCTAGAAGTTTTGTCGGAACAAAAACGGAGACCATTTACGCGTTATGCATAGTAGAAAAAGCGCGCATTGCAAAACTACAAAAAAAAAACGTTGTTTTTCAAATTGCCGTTTGTTGTGCATGGTGTGATGATAGAACTAAAGAAAATTAGTGAATAAGGCATAATCAACTACAGTTGTCTTCAAAAATTACTTTGAAAAATTATACAAAAAACTCAAAATAGATTTCAAACTTTTTGCACTAACCAAATTTTATTTCAAAATTTTTCATTGCCAAGTAAGCGCCAAGCGGAAGATCCCAAAACTAGCTTACGTTTTAGTAAAACCGTTTTACTGACACAAAATTGAAATCAAAGGAGTTCATTTTTTTGACTGAATGTGAAGACAAGCTTTCTTCCAACAATGATTTTTTTTCTAAAAATTTTCAATGGTTAAAACAACGGTTATTTATCCAAAAGTAATTCGATGAGTAAAATAAGTGTAATCAACGTTTTGTTTTCAAAACCTCATGTTGAAGATATCGATTGTTCAAATAAACAAAAAAATGTTAATTCGGCAGCGTGACATATGGCAATCTGCTAATTTGGTCAAAACAATGCGCATTTTCTAACTTTTTTCAATGCAGTGGCAACACTATGTACCGCAATGATTCGCGCTCAGAACCATCCTAGTCGTTTTTGATCTGATATCAAAAGTTATGTTAATTTTGAGATGCAGGGTTTCTTTATCATGAGCGTTTCAAGAAAGATCAAAACTTTTACTTCAATAGACTAAATTGTTCCGATAGTTTGCTCAAAACAAAAGCTGCTCGTTTTCCTTTTGTCACTGTCTGCAAAATTTGAGTAAATGGTTGTTCTTTGTTCTTATTTTCGAATGGCGAAAAAAAGCCAAAAAAAACTCAGGTTGGACGTTTTTCACGATTGGGCAGTTCTCGTTAAATACGATTGATTGGGAAATTGAAGTTTTCACGGAGCCTATAACAAACTTTCTTGGATAAGTGAAGCATAGTCTCACAAACATCGTTCAAACACCTCAATTAGTAAAAGTTTCTGCTAGATGCTGCTTTTTTTTACTATGTACTACACAATAAAAAATATAATTGAAATTTTCAAAAATAGCTTAATTGTACCCGCATCCAAGTTTAGGCGTAAATAATCGATTATAACGGATTATTACGATGATTTTTTGACAATTATAATCGATTATAATTACCAAAATTAGGTCCTTAAGGGATTTATAATTGTTTATAATCGTGATATTTTCCAAGAGATTATAATCTCTTATAATCGATTATAATTGATTACAGTTCTTACTAAAAACCCTTAAAATCAATTATAATCGATTATAATCGATTATAATATCTCATTTTGCCGAAACTTGAGAGATTATATGAGTAAATGGTTGTTCTCTGTTCTTATTTTCGAATGGCGAAAAAAAGCCAAAAAAACTCAGGTTGGACGTTTTTCACGATTGGGCAGTTCTCGTTAAATACGATTGATTGGGAAATTGAAGTTTTCACGGAGCCTATAACAAACTTTCTTGGATAAGTGAAGCATAGTCTCACAAACATCGTTCAAACACCTCAATTAGTAAAAGTTTCTGCTAGATGCTGCTTTTTTTTACTATGTACTACACAATAAAAAATATAATTGAAATTTTCAAAAATAGCTTAATTGTACCCGCATCCAAGTTTAGGCGTAAATAATCGATTATAACGGATTATTACGAGGATTTTTTGACAATTATAATCGATTATAATTACCAAAATTAGGTCCTTAAGGGATTTATAATTGTTTATAATCGTGATATTTTCCAAGAGATTATAATCTCTTATAATCGATTATAATTGATTACAGTTCTTACTAAAAACCCTTAAAATCAATTATAATCGATTATAATCGATTATAATATCTCATTTTGCCGAAACTTGAGAGATTATATGAGTAAATGGTTGTTCTCTGTTCTTATTTTCGAATGGCGAAAAAAAGCCAAAAAAAACTCAGGTTGGACGTTTTTCACGATTGGGCAGTTCTAGTTAAATACGATTGATTGGGAAATTGAAGTTTTCACGGATGGCATGGGTGCGAAATTCGAATTATATTTTATGGGTTATTAATTTTGTCTCAGTAAGAAAATCTCTAAAAGAGAGATCTCTTGGACACTTTGGTTCATCTGAACACAAAGTTTTACCACGAAACAAAAGTTTCATAGAGATCCTTTCATATGAAGCGAAAGGTTCTCGCGGTATATGAAAAATAAATTTTCCGAATCAATCATGATACTGAATCAGTTTGCTGATGTTTTGGTGTTTAAAAAAGCTTAAAATATGCATCACAAAACAACCCTTATGGGGAAGAAATGAAAAAAAACTTATAATTTTGAATCAATTGGAAAACTTTTAAAATATTTTTCTCATTTTTTATAGAAACCAATGTCCACAAAAAGCATAAAATATAAGCAATTTAGATGCAACTTCAAAGACAAAAATGGACAAACAAAAGGGATTATAATCAATTATAATCGATTATAATGGATTTTTGTGCAAAACTAACGAATTAGAAATTTGAATAAAAATAATGGATTATAATCAGTTATAATCGATTATAATTTTATCGAAAATTAGACGAATAAAAAATCGATTATAATTGATTATAATTGATTATAGTTGATTATAATTTGATTTGAAATAGAGTGATTATAATCGATTATTAATTGAATAAAATCGATTGTTTCTCAATTTTAGTGAGACTGGTACTAAAATCGTAATATAATCGATTATTAACGCTTGAAACTGGATGTGGGTAACTCGAATAAGTCAAACTATGCAATTAAAAAAGAAAAAGTTACATGTTAATTAAGATATAGTAAATATATATTGTCAATGCAGGTTAAAATTTCCGTTGGGTATCCACTTCACACTTTGCATATTCATTTCAATTGCACTATGGCTATCAAGAATTTTTGGTGTACTTTTTTATATTTTATCTGTCATTATTATATAATTCAGGCTGAAAATGAAAATTATAAATGTAATTTCCTTGGTTAATAGCATAACTAAATTGTGTCCTTGACTTTTTCTACCTATTTCATTGAGTATTGGTTGTTAGCGATAACATTTAACTTGTAATTAACTTTATTATAAGGTGTACTTGGAATCAGAGGCGGTTCTAGGTTTTTCTGGAGGGGCGGGGGTGGACTTTTAAAAAAATTCAAAAATCTTGTCGAGCTTTTTTTCAGGTCAAGTAAATTGATTTTCTGAGCACTCCCAAAACATTAAAAAGGCCCTACTTGGCCAAAATTTCTGGGCCGCAGGCAAATTTTTTGAAAAAACAGGCCAAAAAATTTTGACCAGGATCTCGCGTTTTTTCGGCGCCTACTACCCCTCTCGAAATTAGTATATCTTGGCCCGAAAGGGGGAGGGGGTGTTGAGGGGGGCTCAGGGGTTCGAGCCCTTAACGACCAAATGGGTCCCGCTTTGTACTATTTTGAGATATCCATATTTGGTGAACGGACCCTTGGGCGCCAATATATACTAAATTTGAGGGGGGAGCGCGCGCCGAAAAAACGCGATTTTTTGCTCAACATTTTCCAAAAAGCGCTTAAAACGCCTTTTAGGGCCTGTTTTTCAAATTTCTACCTGCGGCGCAGAAAATTTGATCAAAAAAGGTCTATTTAGTGCTTTGAGAGAGTTCGGAAAATCTATTTGGTCGACCTAACAAAAAAAAGGTCGACAAATGTTTCGAAAACTTTTTAAAAATCCGCCCTCCCTCGAGAAAATCCTAGATCTGCCCTGATTTCCATCTTTTAACACAGTTTTTAATTCGAGATACACATATATTTTCATTCCTTTGTCATCTCACAAAACTTGTTGTCAAAAACAAATTGTTGTTTCAGGGGTGCCAAAGAAATATTTCACAATTTTTCTTGTTTCTGATTGTTTGTTCCTCAATGTATCAGCGTTTTAAAATTGCAAACTTGCTATGAAAAATGCAGGTTATATTTCTTTTTTCGATGCAAAAACAAAATTTAGGCTCAGTATTTCCGCCTCCAAAATCAGCCCAGATTGATTTAGGTAAACTTTAGTAACAATTAACTAACCTATTGTAATTAGGAAAGGGGGTTAGAAAATTAGACGATAAGCAAATTAGACGTGACCAACAAAAACGAATTTAGACGTTAAACCGTTTTTGCAAAACTAGCATTTTAGACGGAAAGCAAAGGGCTAACAAAACCTATTGCTTAAAACAAGTTTTCATAATTACAAAAATAATTTATGATCACATTGCATATCAAAATAATTATCTCAATTGATTTATCAAATGTTAATTTCAAGATTATGTAACATTTTTGAAATGCATAAATTATACAATTGAGGCATGTGAAAAATGCGGAATGTGAAAATTGCGGCATGTGAAAAGTTGATTTGCATTTAAGAAAGCTGAACGAAAGTTAATTGTAATCGGTAAACAAATTTCAGACACGAACGATACAATTACGTCTAAATTCCCATATTTGCAGTTTTGCATCGAAGTCTAAATTCGTTTTTGTTGGTCACGGTTAATTTGCTTTTCGTCTTATTTCCTGGGCCCCGAACTAACTAGTAACATTTTGTTGAAATATTGAATTTGAAATACAACAAATTCTAAGGAAACTTTATGATAGGCATCCGTGTAGCCTCTTTGCTATACATTTCAA